TTTCTCTCTCTGTGTCTTTGTCTCTGTCTCTCCTCTCCTCTCCCACAGTAGATTTCAGCGATGCTATCATTTATTTCTTCCATTGAGACTCAGCCTTCCCTACATATTTTCTTTATCAGGAATCCTTTGAATTCCACTACCTGATACCCCTCCCATTCCTTACCTGACTAAAGTCTGTTTAATCTCAGTTTATCTAATGTCTACTCTCAGTTAAAATGCCACTACCTCAGAGAAACTTCTCTTGATTTCTCCAAATATACTTTTATTTCCTTTATGCCAAGCACATTTTATGGTTTGATTTTCATTTTTGTGATTGTTAATCTACAGTATATTTTGGTGGTACAGTTGATAAAAATGTGTAATTCATTATACTGTAAAATGAATGACCATGTCTGACTTTTTACTTATAACAAAGCCTTGGAAAATTTCTCCATGTGTTCATAAATATATATTGCATATGGTTTATCTGTAATTTCTGCTAGATGCAGTGAACAAAACAATTCTTAGAGGAATAGTATATGCTCTAGTTGAGGAAACATAGTAAACAAGATAAATAATAAACTATGTGTTAGATGGTGATAAATGCTAATAAGGAAAATTAAAATAGAAAGGAACATGGAGTGCAGTTCTGTGGAGGCATTACAATTTTATTTTACTTTTTTGTTTGTTTGTTTGTTTGTTTGTTTGCCATGCTGGAGATTCAACCCAGGGCCTCATGCGTTCTAGGCAAGTACTTTAGCAGTAATCTGCACCCCTAGCCCTGGCATTGCAATTTTAAATATGATGATGATGGTCAGAAAAGATTTCACTCAGGAGGACATTTGATTAAAGACTTAAAGAAAAAGTGAGCCATGAACATATTCAGAAGCCAAGCATTTCATGTAAGGAAAAAGGAAAGGGCATAGGGAAGCCTGCTGTGGAAAGATGGTGAACAGTAAGTCTACCATAGATGGAACAGAGTAAGCAAGGAGACTACTTAAAGTTAGGGAGGAAATGGAAGCCAGGTAGTGCAGGGCCTGGTAAGCAATTGTAAGAACTTTGATTTTCTCCATGTGATTATGACATGATCGAATTTACATTTTAACTGGACCCTTTGACTGCTTTTGAGAATAAATGGAAGGATGTAGACACATATGGGCTCTCTCATGTGGCTAGCAAGGTGTGCGGTCAGTGGGAAACCTCAGCTCAAGCCTCTCCACAAGGCTTCTGAACAGGGTGCTTAAGATGGCTGCAGCCCTAGCTAATACCCAACACCAGGAGAGATGATGAGTCACATCCACCTAGCTAAGCCACTTCTCAATTTTTGAACCTCTATGGATAGCTTCTATTGGTATCTGAGATAGTAAATCACTCTTCCTGTTTTAAGCCACTAAACTTGATGTAATGTGTTGTAGAACATTTGCTAACTAATCAGTATGTAAATGTAGGATAGACACTTGGAATTTAGAGTTTCAGAAGGAAGATGTAGAAGTTTGGTAGCCTTAAGAATATAGATGAAATCACCAATAAATATATGAAAATAATGTTCAAGATCTCTGGCCATTCAGAAATGCAAATAAAAACAACACTGAGAATCCATCATGCCCCAGAAAGAATGGCTACCATCAAGAAATCAACCAGTAACAAATGCTGAAGAGGCTGCAGGGGAAAAGGAACATTTCTACATCATTGATGGGAGTGTAAACTAGTACAACTATTATGGAAATCAGTATGGAGATTCCTTTAAAAACTAAAAATAGAAATCCTATTTGACACAGTTATTCCCCTTCTAGGTATCTTCCTGAAAGAGTTAAAGACATCATATTACAGTGATACATACATACCCATGTTTATAACAGCACAGTTCATAATAGCTAAATCTTGGAAGCAGCCTATATGTCCATCAACAGATGAATGGACAAGGAAAATGTGGTATATTCCCTCGGGCCGAGCTTGAAGATGGCCCTTCTTCTCTTCCCTACTCCCTTTCTCCTTGATAGAGTAGAGTCAGTCTGTTTGACTAAGATTGTAGATCCTGGGTGGCACAGCCCAGGAGACAGTTACATTCTGTATCCTTGTTCCTTTTCTGTGCATGCCCGGATCTTGAGACAAGCACGTTCAGCTTAGGCCATGTGGGCCACATGGCACTAGTTACCCTGTCTTCCTACACTATAAGTAAAGAGCACACTGGTTGCCAGGTGACCAGTAGCTCATCAGGCTATGGTCCCACCTGGTCCCAGCTATCAAGAATAATCTTGATTTCTTTTTTGTCTTTTCTTCATCTCCCACTGCTCTCCCTGGCTTTGGAAACTATGCTGTGCAGGTTGAGGCAGTATACATACAATAGTGTACTACTCTGCAAGAAAGAAAGATAAATTTGAGTCATTTGTAGGAAAATGGATGCACCTTGAGACTATAATGGTAAATGAAATAAATCAGATATGCAAGCTTAAATACAACATGATTTCTCTTATATGAGAAACCTAAAATATAAATAGAGAGCAAAATAAAAAATAATAGGAAACAAGAAGCTAGATCCTTTGCAAATGGAGAAATGGAGGGCAAGGGGAGGGGACTTTAGGGGAAGGGGATAAAAAAAGAATTGAGATGTGTTATGGACATGTACCAACTTCTTCCTAAGAATGTAATCATTTTGTACTGCAAACATATACTAATAAAAAAACTGAATAAAAAAGAATATAGATGAAATCAAAACTCTGAAACTCAGTGAGGTAATAAAAGACATGAATGAAGATAGAAAAAAAAAGTTGAGTCCAAGGACTAAGCCCTGGGGCACTCCAGTGTTTAAAAACTGTAATACGAGAAACAAAAATCAAAGGGGTGAAGAAGGAACAGCCCATAAGTTATAACATGTAGGTATTTTGTGAGTATCTCCTTCAATTTAGCATGCATTTAATTTCTACCAGGTATTAAATCTCATACTTATTTTTTATCTGTAGAGCTCTGAAGCTGGTTAATGCACGTTGAATTAGTAGGCAAATAGATGAGAACAAACATTGAATGGGATTTAGGCCACTTGGGAGAATGAATAAGCATAATGAATAGCTACGCTTTATGTATGCAAGTGATACATTGCTTTTTTAGATATTACAAGTAAAAAACCATCCCCTGTCTCTTTTCCCTGCTTTAGCAGAGATAAAAGTTTTGAAGGTTAGGTATGGATACTATGTGTTCTGGAAAGTTTGAACTTGCAATTAAGTCAGTGGTACCTAAGGAGTTTCATTTAAATATAAAACCAGAATTTAAAAGATAAACAGCAGGGTGTGTGTTTATGTGTGTTTGTGTATGTGAGTGGGTGTGTGGTATTGAACCCAGAGCCTTCACCTAGAGCTACGTCCCAGCTCTTTTTATGTTATTTTGACGCAAGGTCTTGCTAAATTGCCTAGGCTAGGCTCCAATTTGCAATCCTCTGCTTCAGCCTCCCGGATAACAGACATATACCATCATGCCTGGCAAAACCAGCAATCTTGGAAGTGGGGAGGGAGGGGAAGAGAAGGGTATGAAAGAAGAATTAAGATGAATTATGCGCATGTACCAACTCCCCATGATGAATGTAATCATTATGTACTGCAAACACAACCTAATAAAAACTTTTTAAAAATTGAAAACAAAACCAGCAGTCTATAGTAATCAATCAATCCATCAGTCAGTCAAACACTTCTCCCACTTCTCCACTCTACTCTGGCCCCGTAGGCTGGGTTTCTGTGCTCCCAATTTGGTACTCTTTTGCCTGTTACCTTTCCTCTGTCCCTGACCTTTATTTTTCAAGTCTCAGATCAAGTAACACCATCTTCAAGAGAAAGGTCTTCCTTGGTGTCCTCCAATGTAAGTATTCATTATCCTCAAGTCCTTTATCAAAACACCTGGCCTTACTTTCGGCATGGCACCAGCTGTCATCTGACGTCTCTTTTGTCTTTAATAACTTATGTTCCTTCTCTAGGACAGAAGCTCCTACCTGTCTTGCTCATTGATTTACCATAAATCTAGGACAATGCATCACACATTGTGTGTTTGTTGAATGAATGAATCCTTACTTGCACTGATATGATTTCTAAAATGCTTAGTTTACACTTTTTGGATTACGAGTGAAGTTTTTACTTAGGAATGTTTGAATTTCTTCATTTGTTTCATTTTCTGTCTCTTCTACAATTTAAAAAATTATCCTTTGCTCATTTTTCTATTAGGTACTTCTTGCTACCCCCATCAATTTAAGTGAACTTAAGGCACTAACTCTGATAGTTTATGGAAAATATTATTTCCAATGTGTTTGCCTATAGATTTTGTTTCTATTTTCTTGGGTAGAAATTCTAATTTTCAAGCAGTCAAGTGTAGTAATATACTCCACTGTGGATTGTTTGGATGAATAGCAGGATGGGCTAGTGCTGCGCTCTACGTGTGCGTGTGTGTTCGGTGGTACTGGGACTGAACCTGGCTTTCTTAATTTTTTTTTTTTTGAGACAGAGTCTCCCTAAGTTATCCAGTTACGATTCTCCTGCCTCAGCCTCCGTGTGCTGAGATTACAGGCACGCGCCACTACGCCCAGTTGAGGTTGTAGTTAGTAGAAATTCTGCCTTTAGCAAAACAGGTCAATTAGCTAACGAATCTCCCGTTACCCAATCGTAGCTTTCTCATTTTTAAAATGGGGATAAAGGCACTAAATGCGTCACAAAAATATTGTGAGGTTTAAATGAAATTAAGGCTGTAAAAAGATCCCGGGGACGCACACTGAAAACGCTCTAAAGTATGGTAAATAGCGAGTATTTTATTATATCCATGCTGGGATTTTCTCGGTTCCGTGGTGGTATAGATAGATGTCCTCAAATATTTTAATTCTTTTAGCCTTTAGGAATTTATTTTAATGAGGCAAACAACTTAATTTTAATGCCGAAAGTCAGTTTTGGGTTTTCGGTAAGCGAGTTCCCCGGTGCAATTTTAAACGCCAACCTGCAAAGCACCAAGAAGAGCAGCCTGAGAGGGGGACGTGGCCCGGGAAGGAGTGGGCGGAGCGCAACAGGCCCCGCCCCTCCCCTGCAGCCCCCGGTTCCTGTAAACCACCGCTGCCCCGCCAGCTGGAGGACGCAGTCGGCCTGGCCGTCGCCCTCAGGACTCCATCCAGAAGACAGGCGTGTGAGTGCTTGGGACCGGTTTGGCTTCTTGGGGAGGAGGGTGGCCCTGCTGGGAGATCTGGGCCCCAGGCTCCTCTTGCCGGGGCCCTCCTGGGCCGGCTGGACGAGCGCCCTGGGCCGGGGTTGGCGGGGCGCGCTGGGGGCTCGGGAGCCGCCGACTGCGGGGTCGCGGCCTGACCGGGCTGGGCTGGGCGGCGGGCTCGGGGCTCAGGTCTGGGCCGCGAGTGCCGCCAGGGCCTGGAGCTCGCGCACCTGGGCGGGCTGTGCACCGAGTCGGCCTCCGGGGGACGGGCAGGGGGCTGTGGCCCAGAGGAAGGTGGCCGGCCGGAAATCACCGCCTAGGAGAGAGGGACGGGTCCCTACACCACACTCTTGGTGAAAGGAAAGCCCGGTGAACGGGATGTGCTGCATATTGCATAGGTGGAAGCTACAGGTGACGTGGAGAAGGTTACTGATTTCGGAATAAAGCGAGGACACCGCTGGGAGCGGTGCTAGCAGCTGCTGTTAACTTTCAGTTTAGAAATTCTGTCTGGTGCTTTGGCCTCAATGCACAAGAGGCACAGAGAAAGTGCAATTGCGTTTATTTTGCAGTGCCTGAAACTTGACCGAGCAAACTGACCATTAACGTTGCTCTTGAGGCTCTTAATGGCTGTCTACAACTTTTGCTTCTCCTTAGTGTATTTTAGTGGCTGCTTCTATAATGGAAAATGAGTTGGAGGGAAGAGCGAGGTTAAATATAGCCATTACTGATTACAGTGTTCCACTACTGTGCTACCCAAGTTTTATATGTGTAAGCTCATTTAATTATGCTCACAACCGGGGCCTGAGGCCGTAGGCTTAGTCCTAGAGTGCTTGCATAAATTCTGGCTATAGGTTCTGAGTTCGAGACCCAGCAAAGGAAAAAAAAAAGATAATAGTGCTCACAACTATAAACTTAAGTGGTATTGTTACTCTGTCTCACACTCCGTGAAATTCAGACCGAATAACTTACCAAATCATACATGTGAGTGTGATAAGTGGTAGTATTGGGATTGAAGTTATGACCTGTAATATTTTAGAGCAGAAACTTTATGGCTTAATATAAAAGAACATTATTTTGGGGGATAAGACGTATCTAGGTTTCAAATCTATGGTTTCAGGTTTGTTAGCTATCTGACCTTGGCAGTACTTAACCTTTAGGGTCTCTTTCTACATTTGTTAGATAGAGATAATACCAAGTATGTCACAGAGTTACAGAGTTGCTATAAGGGTTAAATAAAATCATATTCGTAAAACATTTAGCAAAGTGCCTGACACATACATCCTGCTGTTGTCATTAATTGGGGTTAGCAAACTCCAGCCCTTACTGCTACCTCCTAGAGCCAAACAAAACCTGGACAGGTCTAGAACATAGGCCAGAGGGAAATAACAAATGATAAGAAAAGAATAGGGAACTGAGATCGAATGACATATGTGACGGCGGTGGATGTCTCAGGCATTAATCTGTGGTCCTCAGGGCCACTTTTTACCTTTGTGAAAAAATTTAAAAAGGCATGGCTGATGAATCGGGAAAATGCATCTCACTCTGGGCTGAAAAATTCCACAGCAGAAATTGTCCAGGATTGGACTATGCTGAGGCTCTCTGACTATGAGGTGGAATTGAATTTCAGATCTTTATGGATTAAAAGGCACTTGGCACAAACCCCACAATGAAATGTTCAGTTCTCTCTCAAGATTTCTCTCCCATCTATCCCGGGAAGAAGAGGCGGCTCTAAGATGGGGAAAACAGAAGGATTCTTTGCCTCTAAGGGTACCTTAATGACAGGACACCTCTCCTAATTCTATAACTCAACACTTTAAAGACAATGGTTGTCATTTCTACATAAATTCAAGGCAATCTAATAATTGTACATCTTTTTTTCCCCCCATTTAGTTTATTGGTACATTTCAGGTATATAATACAGTTACATTCATCATTGGGATCTTGTACCTTTACATGATGAATAGTTACATATCTTAAAATATGTTTTGAGCTGGGGCTGGAGCTCAGTGGTACAGTACATGCATGAGGGAAGCATGTGGCTTCAATGCCCAGCACTGCAAAATAAATAAATAAAACAAGATTTTATTAAGACTTTTTATAATGCCATTTCTACTGCCCTGAAATCTGCTTAGACACCCAGTTTATACTGGGTCCTGATAGCACTTCCTGTGAATTTTTGGTATAGTTTTATACTTTGCCCTCTTTTTTTTTGTTTCAGTCTTTCTAGTACTTATAGTTTCCCTAAACTTTCTCTCATCATTAATTTATTATGTTAGAAAGTATGCTTGTTAGCAAAATTAAGAAAGTTAATGTTGGATGTTGAAAGCAATTTTAGATCATTGTAACCTTCAGAGATTTATAATGAACCATCACTGCCCATCAAAGCATGATATTTTGGGTGGATCTTTCAGTAAGCATCAATGCCACTTCCATTAGTGTACACAGTAAGCTTGGGGAGTCTAAAATAGGGCATTCCTATCATGTATCTTCTATTACTTTTACCTTACAATCTGGCTTCCTTCCTGCCGGTGTTTTTCCTTTATGTTATTATGAGGTCAATATCTAAAAAAATTAGGTAGGATATTGGGTTAAAAAATTGCTAAAGATTGGCCGGGAAGGTTTAAATTACCACTTATCATAGATTTATTTACCAACATTATTTAAGTTTCTGATAGTGGTAATAAAAAGGAGTTATTATGTATATACGCTTTGATAAGATTCAGATAACTTCCTGTAGGCCATCTATACTGGTTTAAATTTATTTGTAGAAAGGTTAGGGGGTAATATTGGGATTCTTTTGGAGAGGGTCTTCATTCTTTTTACATATAACAACTTAACAGAATGCAATAATAACTTTAAAAAGACATTAAAGTTGATCAATGCAATGGTCAAATTCACCAATTTGCATTAGGTAAATACAATTTCCCCATGCAAAATGAAAGGAAATATCGTGCAATCACTTTAGTAAATCATTTGTAATGTCCTCTTACCAAATGGATATATGATATCTAGTTCCTGTGAAATTTACCAAATTTTCATTGTGGTTACTACGTTGTGTCATCAGGCTCACCCAGTATTTGAAGCTTCTAGTTTACTATGCCTTTAGACTTTCAGGTGATAATACATATAAATTAGATATCTTGCAAATGTAAAGAGAAACTTGTTGGTCTACATTTCCGTCTGTTTAGGGATCAAAATTTCTTTCACTCTTAAAAAGAGTAAAAATCGAAACTACAAGTATCTCCTGATAGTGTTGTTAAAAGTTTATAAAATACCTAAAATTGCACCCCATCTTCAATATTGCTTGCTCCCTTTTCCTGCTTTTTCTCTTTAATGCTACCACCTGACATAGTACCTATTGTTTTTAAAATCTCTATTAGTGTCTATCTATAGTGTAACTTCTTAAGGTCAGGGAGGTTTGTCTATTTTATTCATTGTTGGTTCCCTATCACCTTAGAATAGTCCCTGAGACATAGTTGGTAGTTCATATGTATTTGTTGAATGAGTGTTGCATGAAATATTGAGCTGTTCATGATTAGAAACTATAAAAAGAGTTTCCCAGAAAGTTAAAACTAGTTGAAATGTGTGTGTTAAGCAACCATGACACCACTATTCTTGAAATCAGAAAATATGTAAACATTTCAACATTCTTAATACAGTATACAAACTCTTATTATTTATTATTATTTAACTATTTATTTATTTTGGTTCTAGAGATGCTAAGCCTGAACTCTACCAGTGAGCCATATTGCCAGTTTTATAAACTTTTATTTTTAAACTTTGAGAATAAAGTAGTTGTTGCAGCCTTAAACTGATGCAGTTTTCATATTATTGTTCACCATGAACTAGAGAGGAGCACATAGTGACAAAACATGAAATGCCCATCTTGCCCAGTTAAATATTATACATGCCCAGCTAAGAAGAGAAGAGAGGGAACGAAGCTTTGGAAAACATGCATTTAGTTTTAGGGTGTGGTGGATACTAGGTATTATGGCTTCTATCTAGATGTCCCCTCAAAGCTTCATGTTCTCATAGATGGGGGTTTTAGGAGGTGGCTGGATCATGGATATGTGAAACTGGATTATGGATGTGATAATTGGATTAGTCCACTGATTGGTTTAGCATAGTTCTGGTTGTGGATGATGGGGAAAATCCACCCTGGGTATGGGTGGCACCAACCAATAGGCTTGTAACCTGAATGGAATAAAAAGGGAAAGGAAGGGTCGCTGTTTGTTGTCTCCTGCCTGCCATGCCATGAACTATTTCTCTGCCATGCTTCTATATCATGCCACTCTGCCTTGGAACCAGCTAACTATGGACTGAAACCTCTACAAACTGTGAGCTAAAATAAATCTTTCCTCTTTTAACTTGTGGGTATGAATATTTTGTCCCCAAAATGAGACAGTAACTAAGACACTAGGGCAAGTGAAAAGTTTTGATGGCTTTTTCAACATCTAGAAGATTGCAGAAGGTAGAGAGTTCTTAAAGTGCTGTTCATGAAGGGCCTTAGGTCCCGGCAGATTGAGGTGCCTTAATAAATTCTCTAGACAGCCTGCTGCACAGCTGGCCAGTAGCTTTACTGAGATCTTACGATTTTAAAACTTTTCAACTGAGCATCCTGAGGTTTTTAGTTATGGGAAGCAACTCTGATTTTCATTGAGGAGGAAAAGTTTATTCATTTTGTAATGATGTTCTTCATAGCCAACTTTGCCACAATGCTTATTTCTAAAGTGAGACAATACTGAGATGTTGTCACTGCTTCTGACTTTTTTTTTTGTTACTGGAGATTGAACTCAGGACCTTGCGCTTGCAAGGCAGGTGGTAGCACCATTGAGCTAAATCTTGGCCCTGCTTCTGACTTTTAATACCTCACTCCATGAACCTATAATGAACTGTTCCTTTGATAGGCTTGAAAATCTAATCAATGCTATTTCTAAAATGTGTATATATACATTAACCAAAGGATTAGAAAAAGAGTA